CAGACTCCCACACCTGGCAGCGCATGGTCACCCCTCAGCTGATGGCAAACAGGAAGGTTGACCACCTGGAGGAAGCCGGGCGACCAGGTTTGCTCTGAGTCAGCTCGGCGGCATGCACCAGCGGCAGTGATGGGGGCACGAAGCAGGGCTTCTGTGTTTACTGGCCCACTGTGTATGTCTCTAGGGGGGCAGCCAGTCAAGTCCTTTACCCATTTGTGGTCGGGTCGATTGTCTTTCCGTTGTTGGGTTGTCAGAGTTATCAGATATCTGGCCTCTAAACACCTCTCCCATTTTGTAGATTGTCTTCAGTTTGTTCATACAGTTCTCTGCGCACAAACGTTTTGTCTCTCCCGTCTTCTAATGGTAACACTTTTGGCATTCTAAGAATCCACTGTCCCAAAGCCTGAAGCGCTCTGTTTTCTTCGAGAACTGGATCATTTTAGTTTACATTTGGCCTTTGAAGGAAGGAGAGGATTCTGAGGCCGTGCTCGAATGCTCCTGAAGCGTTGCTGTAGCTGGGCCCCTTCTGTGTGCTGTGCAGTCGCCTCACCGCCATCGTTATACATCCTCCCCAGTGAACGGCCTTACTTGGCATTTCTGTTGACACTCAGTTGACCATGGATACACGGGTTTATTTCTGGAATCTCTGTTTTATGCCATCTATTCTTACAGCATTTCCAGTAGAGATTTCATGCACTTTACTTTAAATCATTCACCAGTGTTTTCTTTATTATGCTCAGCTAAGTACTATGACGAGCTAAGAATGGTATGTGACACATTTTCTTTCTTGGAAAATTTTGGGTTTTCCTGATCATTTTTTTATGCTTTTGCTGTTTGGGTGCTTTTTGTTTTTCCCAGTTTCAAAGCTGACTGAGATTCCTGCTCCTGCTGTCATGACTTCTTCTTCCTTCCCACGTGGCCAAAGGAGTTAGATCTTAACTGGTCACTCTTTCCCCTCGAGATCTCCCTCCCAGAAGCCAGTCGTCTGCTCCGTCTAAAATGCCAACCCACGGGCCAATTAACAGAACAGGTTTTCCCCTCTTCCCAAGAACTCCGGACGGAGTTGACTTACCGATCTTCAGACCCAGGGATTCTTTCTTCTCCCAGTTCAGCTCTGCTGCTGAACCACTCTAGTGAATTTTTTATTTCAAGTTTTTAAAAATGTACCTCCAGAATTTCCATTGGATGCCTTTTAGCCATCTTTGTCTCCGTTTACGGAGACGGGCCGGCATCCTCTTAACTGCAGCTTGGTGTCCGTAAGTTCTTGGGACATATTCTCTACGTAGCCATTCCAGAAACTCGCCTCAGCAAAGGCTTTCCCCTCACCTCCACGTAGTTGACATTCTTTTTTCTTTTTTTGATTAAAAGATCATTTTATTGGGAGCTCTTATAGCTCTTATAATAATCCATACATCAATTGTATCAAGCATATTTTTACATATGCTGCTGCGATTATTTTCCTAAACATTTACTTTCTGTTGAGCCCTTGATATCAGCTCCTCTTTTTCCCCCTCTCCTCCCCAAACCTCGTGACCCCTTGATAAATTATAAATTATTATTATTTTCTTTTATTTTTTATAGAAGGGTAGTTTATTATTTCATACAGTAATACTTAAGTAAGAACAATAAAAGAAGCAAGTACACAATGCTAGGCATGCAGTTAGAAAGTCTCAGAATAGCCATACAGCATATTAAATGCCTGGCGAACGCAGTAG